ATATGTTATATAAAATATGTGGGAAAGGCATTGGCTACAATTCAATATTATTCCTGTATGATATCTTAGTAAAATAAGATTGAAGTATACTTCTTGTTCTTATATTGTAACTAAATCTGAAGTTAATATCTTAAAAAATACTTAATTGGTGAGATACTTAGAGAATTCTGTTAATGTCAAGAACATGTCAAGGAAACCATATATCAATGTTATCACTGAAAATTGTTCTGAAAGTTTTAGCCAGTACAATACAGTAGACAGAGACGTAAGAGGAATAAACACTGGGGGTGGGGAAAACCAAGATATAATTAGGCTGATAAATCTTAGGCTTGGGAAATCATAAGAAATTGGGTTCATCTCCTAGAACAATGGAAAATTTGGTGAATAGCCAGGGTTAATGACTGTGGTCGACCTCCAGCTTGTTGCAGGATTTGCAGCAGCCATCATGCTGGGGGCTCTTCCATTCTTAGGTCCCCCTGTCCCAGCCCACCAGGATGGCAGTATGCGCTCAGAGGGGCGGCACATGGCCACATACACTCTACACATCACTTCTGCCTCTGAGTTTCCCGTTACAGAGGAGTCGTGTTTGCCTTGTCCATGGCTCAGTTTTATGCAGGCAAAAGTCGGTAGAACCAGAGCTTTCGCCTTTGTGGCTGCTACTTACTTCTCCTTGGACATATCATGAAGGCAAAGGGCTGGTTGTCGCTTGCAAGGAAGGCAGGAGAAGGCTGACAGCTTTTCTGTGTCCTCTCAACCTCCTGAATTGCTTCCAGTGTGCCAGGCGACTGGTGTGGGCTTGTGTTGCAAGCCGCGATTATTCCACTGAAGCCTCATAGCTATCACATCCCAGCGCAAACCTATGACACTGTGTGGGGAGGGGGTCCAGGTGAGTGCAGCTCAGCCAAGAAAGGACGACAGCAGAGCACCCACGTGACAAAGCCATGTTCAAGTTCTGCCCCAGGCTCAGATCCTGATTTGCATTATATAGTTGTTGTGACCTTGAGAGAGTCCCTTAATCATTCTGAGCCTCGTTCGCGTTATCTATAAACTGGGAAGGATAACAGCAACGCAACTTACAGAGATGAACTCGTGAGTTAAGCACACATCATCCTCACTTATTCCTCACAACAGCGCCTATTCAGAGAGCGACTATGTTCCCTGTTTTACTGAGGGGAAACTGGGCCAGAGAGTTTAGTGACTTGCTCCACAGTCACACAGGCTAGGAAGATTATGAAAAGCAAGGGTTTCAGACCCAGCCAGTCGCGGCTTGCAAAGCCCTGGCCGTGCGTCACACCCTGGCCTCTGTGCCATCTTCTGCAGCCACACAGAAGCATGCCCTTCTTCATGAGGCTGTGGTAAGGAGGCAGAGGAAGACGTGTGAGAAGCCACGGCACAGTGTGGAAGGTTAATCCTTCTCCCCCACCCTCCGATTTTCCTCCTTTAATACATTAATATGATGTCCTGAACAATGCTATAATATTGAACCATCCTTGAATACATAGAATGAACCTTTTTTGGTCATGGTATACTATTATTTCTGTAATATTGCCCAATCAGTATGATAGTAGACTTTTTACATGTATATTAACAAATCATGAGACTAGTCTTTAATTTTTTTTGTGCTGACTAAGTTTTTAGATCAGGATTATGCTAGCTTGGAAAAATGAATTGGGAAGATTTCCTTAGTTTTTTATATCCTGGAACAGTTTAATGACAGAGGTATGTTTCTCTTGAAGGTTTAAAGAACTTGCCAAAAAGAATAACAAACAAAAACTTTCCCAAGAAGCTAAATGGATGAGGCACTTATTTTTTTTTTTAAACATTTTCTATTTCTTCCAAGATTATTGGGATGTTGGTATTCTCTGACTCTTCTTGAATCACTTTTAGCAATTCATATTTTCCTAGAAAATTGTACCTTTTGTTGAGATTTCTACATTCATTCCTGTGGAGCATGTTTCTTTATGTTTTTAAATATCATCTCTGGTTATAATGTCTCCTCATTCCTTATCTTGATTATCTGTGCTTTTTTTGAATCTTGATAGACTTGTCTATGTTATTGTTCTTTTCAAATAACAATTATTGGCTGATGTATTGTCGTCTGCTTTTCTGTTTCCTAATTCATTCTTTTCTTTCCTTTTTTTTTTTTTTTTTTTGAGACGGAGTCTTGCTCTGTCGCCCAGGCTGGGGTGCAGTGGCCGGATCTCAGCTCACTGCAAGCTCCGCCCCGGGTTTACGCCATTCTCCTGCCTCAGCCTCCTCAGTAGTTGGGACTACAGGCGCCCACCACCTCGCCCGGCTAGTTTTTTTGTATTTTTTTAGTAGAGACAGGGTTTCACCGTGTTAGCCAGGATGGTCTCGATCTCCTGACCTCGTGATCCACCCGTCTCGGCCTCCCAAAGTGCTGGGATTACAGGCTTGAGCCACTGTGCCCGGCCTCTTTCCTTTTTTTGAATGGAATCTCACTCTGTCTCCCAGGCTGAAGTGCAGTGGTGCCATCTCAGCTCACTGCAACCTCCACCACTTAGGTTCAAGCGATTCTCCTGCCTCAGCCTCCCGAGTAGTTGAGATTATAGGCGTGTGCTATCACGCCTGACTAATTTATTTTATATATATATATATAAAAAAGCAAGGCTGGTCTTGAACTCCTGACCTCAGCCTTTCAAAGCACTGAGATTATAGGCGTGAGCCACAGCCCGCCCCTAATTAATTATTTTCTGTTTTTATTTCCTTGATTCCTTCCTTCTTCTTTCCCTGGGTTCATTTTATTGATTTTTGTCTGGCTTCTTGAGTGCTTTGGTGAGGCACTGATCTTCTGAACCTTTGCTCTAGGGATCAAGGTTTTAAAGCATGTGTAACGCAGCAGAAACTGT